TTTATAAAAACAAAATGTAACAGTCAAACAAAACAGGCGGTACATATGGGTATGTTTTTTTAATATGATCCACATACAGCGACTCACAGCTTAAATAATGAACTAACTGGTCTGAATGTCTCTTTATTTATTTGGCAAAAAAAAATTATTGTAATTAAGTTAGTAAAAACCCTTCTAAAAAAGTGTCAATTACTTATTTTCTTAAATATGCCTTATTTAGTTAACCATGTAGAGCTAATAAAATTATACATTTTCGCCAAACAACACGAATACATTCACTGATATGACTGTCAGAAATGACAAACGTCAAAATTCAAAGCGTGGGAAATATCTCCGAAAACATCCGATTGCTCCCAAATCCGTGCGGTAAAATCTCGAAAATGTCCGAAACTGACGTGGCAAAGTGACGCTTCCCGCACACTAGATCGGTGTGTAATTAGGTATTTTACACACGGGAGTAGGAAAAATAATTTACATGGTCGAACTGCCAGAAATAAGACGTTAATTAGCCGAAGAAATAGACTTATGAGATTGACATTCGCTAGAGAACAATATCAATAGAGATTTCAACTTCTGGAATTCAGTAATATTTTATTTGCCGATAAGACCAAAATAAACTTATTTAATATTAGTATTGAGAAAGCTTAAAGAAGAATTGAAAATGTGTTGGGTAATGTTCTGTTATGGGGCTGTATGTCATCCGCAGGAATAGGTAATATGCATTTCATTGAACGAAATATGAACCAAAATATGTATTTGGATATATTACGACAGCATCTGGTTGCTAGTGCCTAAAAATTAAATACGGCTAACAATTATCGGTTCTATCATGTCAATGATCCAAAGCACACGTTATTTCGGGTCTGCAGTCGGTTGCTGTATAACAGCGCAGTCACCAGTCGCCGGAGTATACTAGAAAATTAGTTGAATCAATACTCAGAAGACTACAAACCGTTATCGATTATGAGGGACGCCCGGCTAAATATTAGTAGAAATTTTTCAAATTATGCAGTTGTTTTTCTCTATTGATTTGGTTATATTTTGTATTGCATCATTTAAACTGCAACGTTAATGTTGTATATATAACTAAGTAAGGCATATTTAAGACAAAAAGCAATTCAGAAGGCTCTTTATTAACTGAATTTCAATAAGTTCTTTTTTTTTTTTCAAATAAATAAATGAATATTCAGACCAGTTAGTTTTTGTAATAGCGACTGCATCATTTAAGTTGTGAGTCACTGTATATTCTTTTATACAAATACACTGCTGACACTTAATAATACCTACTAGAGTCTCCCTAATGAAATGCGAATACTAATTTTTTAATGGTAATGTTTTCAGAAAAGTCGTTTTTTTTATATGTATAACTGAAATGCGAATCGAAACCTCTTTGTTGATATTTTCATTTTTTTATTTCTACTACGCACATACATTAACTCTTGCTATTAATATTAATATATAAGGTTGTTCGGAAAGTCATTTCGTTTTTTCCCGTCAGAGAACTTAATTACGTTTTTTCGAAACCAACTTCACACTTAAGCCGCATAACCATTATATGTCTTGAGAGCTGATATTGCAAGGCTTGTGTGTGAAAAAGTTCTATTAATTCTACGCAGTAGTTTTTGGTTGGTGCCCTTTTAAATATGGAGAGCAATAAGCAGCATTTTCGTCATATTTTACTTTTTTACTTCAGAAAAGGTAAAAATGCTGTCCAAGCGAGAAAAAAATTGACGGATGTGTATGGAGAAGGCGTGTTAACAGTACGCCAGTGCCAGAACTGGTTTGCAAAATTTCGATCCGGCAATTTTAATGTCGAAGATGCACCACGGTCTGGAAGGCCGGTCGAAGCTGACAAAGATGCGATAAAGGCATTAGTTGATGCAAATCGGCGAATAACCACACGAGAGATCGGTGAGAGATTAAATTTGTCGAATTCGACTGTTTATGGCCATTTGAAAGGCATGGGCTTAACCTCGAAGCTCGATGTGTGGGTGCCCCATGTCCTTACGGAGCGAAATTTGTGTCGTCGCGTTGACGTGTGTGATTCGCTCCTCAAACGTCAAGAAAATGATCCATTTTTGAAGCGGATTATTACTGGGGACGAAAAATGGGTTGTATACAACAATGTTAAACGCAAGAGGTCATGGAGCAGAAAAGATGAACCGGCTCAAAGCGTGTCAAAAGCCAACATTCACCAAAAAAAGGTGATGCTCTCCGTTTGGTGGGATGTCAAAGGAATCGTTTTTTTTTTTTGAGCTTTTGCCGGACAATACAACGATTAATTCAGAAGTCTATTGTCATCAACTGGACAAATTGAATGATTCACTTAAAGAGAAGAGGCCCGAATTAATCAACAGGAAGGGTGTAGTGTTCCACCAGGATAATGCGCGACCTCACACAAGTTTGGTCACTCGCCAAAAACTTTTACAGCTTGAATGGGACGTACTGCAACATGTCAAAAACCACCTGAACCAGTTTTTTGCCAGCAAGGACCAAAACTTTTATGAGAGGGGAATTATGTTACTGCCAGAAAGATGGCAAAAGGTGTTGAACCAGAATAGCCAATATATAATTTAATAAAATATTTAATCATTATACGAAAACTGTCTTTCATGTTCTCCAAAAAAAAACGAAATGACTTTCCGAACAACCCAATATTATTACCATTATTAGCCATTACTACTTTCAGTTAACATGCAATTGGTGTAACTTCAAGCAATCCAGGTGACTCCACCAAGATGTCCTGAAGAAAAAAATGTCCCCATTTATCTGTGAAGATTAGTGATTTTGTGTAATATTTCCTAGGTGTAATCTTAGTTAGTATTTGATGCGGATGTAACAAGAAACTATGTCAATTTGCCAAACAGTTTGATGATAAATGTTTAGAGCTCTAACGAACAAATATATTATCTCAACGAAACACTAAAAATGAAACAAAATTTAAGTTAGAGGTTTTGGTGGTCAATAATTTATTTGATGTCAACAATGACGTTTAAACACCCTAATTAATTCCAGGTTAACTAGATTTGTATTTTGAAAAATTATTACTTCTAGGGGAAGTGAAATGTAGAATTTAATTTAACTATTCTAGTCAAGAACGGTGTAAGTGATGACAAGAAAAAGACTTGAAACTGAAAAAAAAACGGTCGCTTATGGTATGGTATGGTAGAAATAAAAAGAGAGTGATGCGCAAAAGGCACTTACCAAATGCCACAATGATACAAAGACAAATAAAAGTTTTTTTTTCAAGAAATTTTACCACCCTGTTGTATCTCGAAATTTAAGACCTTTAGGGCATAGTATGATATAAAGTTTTTTTTAAAACCACCTTATAGTAGGCGTATCTATATTATTCTCTTATTCTTGTTTATCTTATTGACTTTATTTCACACGCTAGTCGGCACTTTGCTCCATTTTGATTCTAAACAACAACAGATGCCCGTAAAATTTAATCGAATTCGGGCCGATTTTGACAAAATAATCAGCAGTATATGATTATAATTGCTAGGTACGAAATATTCTTACATACTTATCTATATTTAGGTTTCAATTTAGAAAAAATGCTACAGCTATTAAGTATTTAATATTAATTATTTTTTACATAAGGACCCTAATTTTAAACCTTACAAATTACCTCTCTAATAGTTAGAGAATCGGGGTAAACAGAACCTTAAAATTACATTTTGCTAATTTTCCAATGCTTTGTACATGATAAGTGGCTATATAGTCAGTTCGTCCCATAATTACGTCGCCAATTATATTACCTATTTTAACTAATGCAAGGGTTCAAAAACAGACTGCAACAAAACTGAGCTTATAAAAGCTTGCAGTATCAAAAATATATAAATAGCGGAAATTAAATAGCTGTTTTTAGAGCTAGAAAGAAAAACACAACAAAATATTTCGCAAAATATGAATACATACTGTTATTTTTACTCTATTAGGTATTAGGGATATATACAAAATCGATTTTTTTCCGGTTTCCCATGCGAACTCGGCAGCGGACACGTTCGATCTTAAAAAAAAAAAAAAACCTATATACCTATGGGTTTCCATTGTCTTCGTTTTTTTCAAACTCATGCTCGTGATTCCGAGTCAATGAAAAATGAAGTAGCCCCGACAGGTTGCCCCGGCTCGATTCCCGACCTTATTTCGATTTTCATTAAAGCCAACATGGCGTAGTTCTGTATGCGCGTATACGCAGAAAAAATCCAATTTATTTTTTTCGACGATCACCTGCGCTAGCGAGCGGCACATTTCTACATAGACAACTTGAATACCTTGAACTGATTTAAATTCTTATCTGTGTAGTTATATGGAATTTATGAAACTTTGTACAATTTAATTGTCAACGAGAAAATTGGCCACCTAACAACCTTATCGTAAAATGTCTAGAAACATAATCTACATAAGCAAACAAGTATGAAGGAGTTAAATTTTTTTACGCGCAAGTGATGACTACTACCTATTTTCATCTTCCATGTGAAGATTAAGGTTCGGATGGTCTTATTCCTTTAACCACGTCATTGCTGGTACAGCATCTTAGATAATTTTATGGTTAACAATTTAAAAGTATTAAAAAAATTAAATATAAGATCAAACCATGAACCTTGTGTGTTTAAATGATCCTTCTGCGTCGACTTCGTAAATATTCAAATGTTAAAATGCCAAGACACGGAGCTGAGTGTGCCGCTCTGTAGTGATACTAGTTCGGGGCACACAAGGTATAACCCACACAATAAACATGATACTGCTATATTTTAATTTGATAGTTTTTATGGGGCCGGCGGATGCCTACCGTCAGCCGACAACGCTAACGCTGCCGTCCGTATTCCAGTAGCACTTTAATTTTAAACCGTGAAGGGATTAGCTTCGATACGCGTCCTTTGTGCGGAACAGGTACCTGATGCAAGTAGTGCTGGTTGCCGACAAGATGCCGTCAAGAATGCGTCTGCTCGAAAACCATTCTTTTGTTTTCCCTTATTCTACTGGCGTAATTTTTTACACCACATCTGCACTTCCGATTTTCAGCTTGCGCAAATTTTACAAAGCGATTTTTTTTTCGAATTATCTTATCCGTTTTATTGATATTTTTTCTACGTACAATTAAATTAATCTCAAGGCTACAACGCTTGTTTATTTATACGAATAATAGCCAAATTAAGTGAAGTTTGATCGCAAGGCTATTGTCGACAAAGTCCACCAAGAACCTGAACACTACGCAGAGTTTAAAATGTCCGAAAAACTGATAAAATTTGAGATCGATGGCGAACTGCTAGAAACGTTCTTCTTCTACTCGGCCATCTTAATTTTAAAAACCCTTCTCATGGTCCCTTTGGTTGGATTTTCGAGGATCTATTTTCGGGCAAGTATCGATTTTAATTTTAATAGCATCATTAAAAAACCAAATCGATAACAGAATTATTTTGCAGGCTCCCGTAAATGCTGAAGATGCAAGAACAGTTAATGGTCTGTTGTCGCTTACTAAAGGCAAAGCTGTTGAAGTCAAGCAACATGATTCTGTGGAAAGAAACAGAAGGTGAAAATAATCAGTTCTAAACAATAACTGTCCGAAATATCAAGAGTAATTTATTGCAGGGCACATCTAAACGATTTGGAGAATATCCCGTTCTTCATCATTGCTTCATTTTTGTATATACTGCTCACGAATCCTTCTGTATTCTGGACCGTCTGGCTAATCCGACTTTATACGCTTTCCAGAATAATCTACAGTATAGTTTATACGCGGCTTAAATCGTCCGTACGGATTTTAGTGTACCAGTTTGGATTTTTAATTCTTTTCTACTTTACTGTTAGTGTACTATTACACTTTGTTAAATGAAAATGAAGACATTAGTAGAGTCAGGTTTTAGAGCGAGATTAAAAGTGCTTATAAAAGAAGAAAAGGCCTTTTTTAAATTTTACCTATGAGCTTTATCAAATTTACTAAAACTATAATCTAAATGCTAATCTGTTCATAATTACATAACGTAGACCGTGCGCCATCTATGCAGCAATAGCCACAAATATTGTTCTTTTCTCGTTACAGAAAACGATATGTGAGGTACGCCATCTGTAAGTGTTTTTGCTAATCAATGTAGACAAGAAATGAAGCACAACTGTTCTGTGCTGGATTCTGTGGTGGAGCATTGCACACGGCGGTTTAACCTCCGTTTGCTCCCGACAGAATCCCTTGTATTCGTCCCAATAAGTTTGATATCGGTTTCCACGGTGTGGATTTATTGTTTTGAGTGTTCAGTTTACGTTTTAAAGTGATAATCGTCGTCGGTCCCGTCGTTTTTCCCTGTCCACGCCGGTATGGAGGCCGGATGGTCCGTGGTGGAAGCGGGGGAAGCCGATTTTTTTGGTATCGGTCAGAATCGTTTTTTGCTAGCTGAGCAAATTATTGGTTATTTTTCTTCTTTGTACGTGGTGGTCATTGACTAGAAGCGAATATTCTCGACGGAAGTCGGCAATGGGCGAATGATCCTAGCAGTCCAGCCCAACATTTTTTTGTGAAACGCATAATTGAATTGAATTGAATTGGTTAAAACAGTTTTTTGCGAAACGCATCATTGAATTGAATTGAATTGGTTCTGTGCTGATTCTGTGGTGGAGCATTGCACGTGGCGGCTGAAAACTCTTCAAAATTCCTAAAATGCAAAGTAGATTCATTAATAGTTAAGCTATGAAAAGATTTTAAATGTTTAATTAAATCTGTATGAATTAAAAAAGAAATGTCTGTGCATATTGGGCATAAAATATGATGCATTCTTTCAGATCCAGATTTCTCTTGGCCAGAGTGTTTTGCCCGTATATATCGGTTTTTGGTCGATGTACTTGAAAATTCCATCTCAGAAAATTGACAAGTCATTTCTAAAAAATTAAAAATTAAATTATTACGAGACATCATAACATAACCTACAAATATCAAATTAAAGCAATAAACTTGCCTGAAATAAATATCAATAATTAATCACAAAAAATATAAGTCGCTTATTAATCTCGATTTCACGAGCAAATATAGCCTTGCTATATCGGCAAAAATCCAACGGATTCTGTCGTCTTCGCGGTAAAATAAAACTTAACCGTTTAAAATTGGCGGGCTGCTATACGATTAAACTCGATATCAAACGAAGCGCGCTTCGGATTACATTGATCTCCTACCTTGTGATTGGCTCGGCACGTTGGAAAAATAACACAATTTGTTGGACTTGTAGCGCATGTGCCGCCGGACGTCTCTGCTACGGCTTTGTAAATTCAAATGTCCATTATGCTCCTAATTGCAATCGCTACCGCTACGTATTGTCGTAACCCTTTACTAAGTGAGCCCAGCGTGTACACAAAAATCGTTGCGTTTCAATTAGTAACAAAAATATAATCTTAACCTTTTCATTATGACGGATAGTAATTACTGGCAGCGGCAGGAAGTACCTTTTTATCGGCAACTGGCGAACGATACTTGCCCAATTCAATAGAAAATCGTTGAGGAAGAATACGTGTATAGTGTGATTAACGCACAAATGTAGAACTAGAAACTGGTTGCCCACTGTGGTGTGAAACGTAAATAAAGAAGAGGATTAATCTTTGGTGGAAGGAAGAAATGATCTTTGCTCTGGAGTAATTTGAATTTTGGCATTTTACTTGTTAGTTTTTCTCACATTTTCAAAGTTATGGATTTAACATTGGAAGAAAAATTGGACATATTATATGATAAGTACATAAAAGAGACCGAAACAAAACCAAAATTCTCTACCTTGCAAATCGATAAAAGGGAGGAAGAACCACGCGATATCCTAAACGATTTGTAAGTATTTTAACAGATAGGATCCGTTATAAGTTTTATGGTCTATATATTGTTAGAAAAGACGCAGTAAAAGATGAAATTGATTGGGTTGACTCACAAGCTAAAATCGTTAAGGACGACATTGAGATAGTTAAAGAGGAGTTACTGGTGCCTTCCCAGGAGAATTTTGGTGAGTAATACATGGTTTCTTTGTGAAGTGTTATTTTTTCTGAATTGGTCGGGGAATCTATCGTTACATTATTAAATCTGCAACAACAGATTACAATTTATAGGCAGTAATCATAGTTCTTATGGAAAATACAATATTTTTCAACTTATCTTAATGAAGCTTATTGGCTCCGCACAGGAGTTTTTCTCAAGGGCAAAGCAACTGGTGATATTGTTGTATAGAATATCTTATTTTTTTCCTTGCATTTTAGATAATGTGATGTACAAAAGCAATTTGCGAAGCACATACAAGAGCACTCAATCATCAGAAAGAAAACAAGAGATATCAGTATATATATGTGAAAATTGCGATTATCAAAGCAAATACAAAAAAAACTTGAAGGAGCACATAAAAAGGCGGCATTCTGCCAACAGCGAAAAAAAAATCAAGTGCGGCTCCTGTGATTATTCCTTTCGTTATAAATCAGAATTGCAGAAACACTCGCTGGTGCACAAAAGCGCGGATGAAGTGCCTCTGTATAAATGCAACAACTGCGTTTATCTAACCAAGTACAAAGAGAACATGTTAACACACATTAAAAAGCAGCATATGGCCATCAGCGAAAAAAGATTCAAGTGCCACTTATGTGAACATCGTTGCACTGCAAAATCAGATTTGAAGAAACACTCTTTGGTGCACAAAAACCTCAACGAAGTAACTCTATATAAGTGCAGCAAGTGTGATTATCAAACTAAGTACAAAGGGTCCTTGGTGACTCACTCAAAGCAGCACTCAGAAGAAAGATTCAAATGTGACTTGTGTGATTATCAGTGTGTTATCAAATATAAATTGGAAAAACACTCTTTGGTGCATAAAAATGTGGATGAAGTACTTCTATATAAGTGCGACAACTGCATTTATCAAAGTCGGTACAAAGGCCATTTGTTGAAGCACATAAAGAAGCAGCACCTAACTATCAGCGTTAACAAAATTTAGTGTGTCTTATTTTTAAATTGCTCTGTTGCTAAAACATGCTATGTATAAGAACCACAAGGAATACTGATAAGTGCTGAAGATTGCAGTTACCAACAAAAACAAAGAGACCATTTTCTACTAAGATTAATTAATTGAGAAGAAAATTAAGTGCTGTTTGTGCACACAAACAAAAAACATTCTGCAGTGCATAAAAATGACCATGAAAAGAGGGACGTTTTTAAATTTGTGTAAATGTTCAAAATTCCGAATTGTATTTCTGTGTTAATGGCCAATATATTATACAATAGTATATGGTTTTCATACTATACAATTTAGTTTTGTTTTTAATTTCTTAATTAAATTAAAATTTCCTGTATACCGTTTAGTAGAACCATTTTACATTATCAGCCCATAGCTCAAACTAGTTCACTGTAACGAAGATATGGCAAGGCCATATCATGATTCATAACTTTTCATAAATCAAATCCAAATTCTTATTTGCAGTTCAAACCCAAAAAAAAAGAAAAATGGTGGATGTCCATTTGTCTGTTATATGTCCTTACTTTTTTTTTTGGCAAAAAATTTTTGGGACGGGTGACATATATCGATGACGACAGCAAGATAGAGGAAGATTCTGCGAAATTGCAACAGAACTCGCAACCTCCTTCCACCAGAGAAGAAAGATTGTTGGTGGTATCCCCTAAATGACTCTTAACCTACAAAGAGAGCGATTCGTGTGAGTATAAAAAGTCCCAATTAGAAAGATATCCTGCAGTTGACAAAATACAGGCGAGATAGATAACAGATAGATAATTACATGATAAAATCAAGTGCTATATTTGACTGATTATCAAAGCAAATTTAAAAATAATTTAGCTCAGTACAAAAAAGGACACGCATTTCGACTTGTGGGCTTATTTGTCTCTCTCACATTCCTATTTGAAAAATCACTATTGGGTGTGACTTGTGTGATTACATTTTAATCACCAATTTAAAAACGCATTCCTTGGTGCATATTTGATAAAGCTACTACAGCTATAGAGGTACTACCTAAGCTGATAATACATAAGTTTATGAAGGAATTATGAAAAAAAATAGCTGCTAAAGACCTTGCCTAAGCCGATGATACATAAACTTATGACGCAACTACAAAGACATATTTTTAACAATGACCTCACGAAATTCACCAATCAACGTGGCCGCTGATCGTCAATATTTTTGACTGCGACGTTTTTGCGGCAATATTTTCGCGCAATAGGCCTAGATCTCGTGAAATGTTATGAGAAATCGAGTTAAACGTGTGAAAATCACTGTTTAGAAATAAAATAGCAAAATGCATTTTTGGGAGAGTATTGATTTGTTATAATATATAATTTACAGTTTTATTTGAATGAATATATTTTTTTTATTTTTGTGAATTATAATTTACTCAGAGTCTGGGGAAAATTCGCCCGCGTTTTACTAAATTTTGAACTTCAGCAGAATTTTAGGGTACTTAATTATTATCAAATTTGTTGATGGGTTTCTGTAAAAGAACAGCGCACATGTAGTATAAAAGAAAGAAGGAAAGAGAGAAAAAGTATACAATTTTGAGACTCCGGAGCTAATTTTTTTCTGTTATATCCAAAAGTAACCAAATAGTAGCATACCTTAAAAAAATTGGATTTATATCGAAATTTACCAAAACTTCTCATATTTTTATGTTTTTCGCTTTTTTATACAGAAACTAAAATTCAAGCCCCACTATTGCATTCTCCAAAATTTGTTACGTTACATTTGTTCCGGACTTAAGATTTCGCTTTTAATTTTTTTTTTAACTATTTTATCCGTTATTCAAATCGTTCTTCCGAATTTTAGTTTTGTTTCTTTTTTATTTTGTTTATTTATTTATTTTTATTCAGTAGTCGTGGTATTATCTCGTTTTCTCCTTTTTTAATCATTTCCAACTGTCTATTTATAGCATGTTATACGGGCGCAGAGGTCCGCTATCGCTCTAAAATATTTTCAAGTATGCAGTGTTGTCGCTTTTATATAAAAGGTATTGATTCCTGTGATAGATTTAAAACGGGAGTTCTATTAGCACGGTTTATTGAGTTTGTTAAATAGCGCACCCTGTATATTCTTTTTTTAAATTCTAGGAAAGACACTAATCCCATTTTGTTCAAGTTGCCCTACCCTACCGTCTTTAAAATAAAAATTAATTTTCATGATGATTTCTCATTCTAAAAAGCACCAAAATATGGACGAAGTGCGACAAATACGATTTTCAGTCTAAATACAAATTTGGATTAACAATCGAAACGGCATCACTCTGAGAGAAGATTGAAGCGCAGCTTGTGTGATTATCGGTTCAGTTTTGAATCGCAATTGCGGACACACTCTCTAGTACACAAAAAACCTAACCGAGGTGACTCTATACGAGTGTCACAACTGCGATATTCAAACCAATCTGTATTGAATAAGCATATGCGGCGGCACTCGGCCGTGAAAAAATTCAACTACGATTTCTGTAATTATCAATCCAATACGAAGGCCCATGTTAATATTCATTCTTTGGTGCACAAAAGTGCGGACCAGAGCCCTCTCTGTAAGTGCAACAACTGCGATTATCAAACTAAATTCAGAAAATCATTTTCTAGTGCACAAAACTACGGACGAGATGCCTTTGTACAAGTGCAATGGCCCCAAGTATAAATCTAAATACAGACCATACTTAAGCACATACAACGGATGCACTCGGTCATCAGCGATAGACACTCTTGTGTAATTGCGTGTAATCACCATCAAGAAAATACAGAAAAAATCGTGTGCAGAGGACAATTCATCGCCGGGAAATTGAGAAGTTTTTCTCCACACCCACCATTGAGTTCCCGACAAGTTGATTGATTGTTGTTGAGCTGCGAGTTTAATTTTTTCGTGCTTCGCTTTTAATTTATTTTACTGCAATTTTTTTGTGGCAAATCAGCTGTACCGGATGACCCATTAATAAAGGCCGCCGGCCATATCTCAGGAATCGTTAGTCCTACAACTTAGAAAAATAAATATTTATAGCTAAATCAGCCAAGAGAAAAAGTTGGAAATTATTTTCAGTGTTGTTTATTGTTTGAACCATTTTTTTTCTCTTGTTTTGTCAAATTGAGAGTGGGGGAAGGATCAAATATTGGTTTAAAAAAAGTTGAATAGCTTAGTTTAGTTTTAAAGAGTATTTTTATGATTTTCTGGAAAATTTAAAATATATATAATATTTAAAAAAAAAGAATCCTAGTCCTCGCATCGCTTGCAGGCTTTTCACCACTTACATTCGCCCCATCCTGGAAGTTGCTTCCCCAGTCTGGAACCCAAGGCTATTGCGTGACTGTGATGTTCTGGAAAGAGTGCAACGAGCCGCTACGCGCTGGCCACTTCAACTTACACCTTACGATGACCGTCTCAAAATACTTAGTCTGCCAACATTAAGTCAGCTTCGGCTGCGAGCGAATCTCATTCAAATGTATAGGTTTGCGCATGATCAATTTTCATCTGACGTCCCCTTGTGGTCTTAAGCGATGATCTACGCCTACGTGATCATCCATTTAAAATAAGGAAGGAACAATTCAGGACTTCACATCTCCTACATTTTATAAGTAACAGAACTTTCGATTATTGGAACAGTTTGCCCCCAGATGTGTGTGCGCCGAACTTATCTGTATTTAAACGTCGCTCGGACAGTGTATTGTTTCACAGCAATAACTAAATGTTTATTATATGTTTTGTGTTACTAACTACCAATGTGCATAATAGGTTTTCCTCTGCACTTTATTCTTAGTAATAATAATAATCATCATATAATAATCATGATCGTTAGTGTATATTGATAAAAAAACTTTTCTGAAATTGACTGCCAAAAAAATGTAAATACTCTTCAAGATACAAATGTAATATGAACAGAATTTTTTCTATAGAACGTGCCTTCTCAACATATTTTGCGGTATGCTTTGAAGTTCTGAAATTCGCTTTCTTTTGACTCGAATCTAGATCGTGTACACAAGGCCTATGATTCGAAAACTGCATACTGGTAGTATGTCAACTGCCAAATGACCCTTCCGTACTTGACTTGCAGAAGGTTCTTTGCAGCGAGAAAAATAATTGATATTAGTTTTTTGTATAGTTACTGAGCTTTTACCAGTTGCGTTAAGGCAAGAAACATAAATACTAACCAAAACTAACTAGTAAGGAACAATAATTACTCTTAAATTCAACAAAAATTTCAGTTACCGGCTATACTCTACTTAATTCAAAAATGTGATACCTATTGCAGGATTAGAAACGTTCTTTTTCAAGAAAGAAATTGTTCGGAGGATGTCGGTAATGCGCAATGCCGCCCAAATGATAGAAATTAATCACAATGAAAAAAGATTTTTGTTTTTATCAGCTGCAATTGGGCGAATGATCCTAGTAGTCTTGCCCAACAGTTTTTTATGAAACAATCATTGAATTGGTTCTGTGCTGTGGTTGGCCATTGCTCGTCCATAAAGAGCAAGTTGAAACTTTAACAATTTCGTTAAAGATTCGATTCAAAAATGAACTCATTGCTTAATTATGGAAGCGACGACAGCGAAGACACTGGCGACGAAAAGCAACCGGTAAATATTGTATTTCATTTTAAAATTGCGTTGAGATGTAAAGATTGGCATTTGCATACGTCGTCATTATTGATTGCAAAGCTATTTTAAGATATCTCGAGCTAACACATTTTATTGTGTAATATGATATTCGTATTTATTTATATCTGATAATTTTTACATATTTTGTTTTTTTTTTTATAATGAAGATCCGTTTGAGGTGCCCCCAATACAAAGAGAGGAAATTGTATTTGTGTTGGGGTACAGCTTTTACTGGTCTTTTTTATAATTCTGATGTTTTTTATAAGATCATTAATATGATTCTTTGCCAAATGTTAGTTCGATCAACATCAAATTCTTGACAGGAGATACAAAGGAATATTCCGAAGAATTACCGGAAGATCACGGGGCACGAAGATAACTATGAGGAGGTCGGCATGGACATGAGCGAGGTAATTTTTTTTTACAGAGTATGCAGCCTTTTCTTAAAGTTTGGCATTGCTCTTTAAATATAACCGCGATTACTTGTAATATTCTTGAAGTAAACAAGTTTTTTTAATTGAAAATTTGTATTGGGTGAAAGGAAAATTTCAAGAAGTCCATTCATCCTGCCACAAAATGATAGGATATTTGCTTAGATACAATCACTCAATACAAATTCATATATCTTTATCATTCTTAATATTGAAAAGGTCTTTTGATATTAACATTATCTGTTAATTATATTGTAAAGATCTTGTATCGACCGATCAACAATGATGCGAAAAGCCTTAGCGAAACGACCACGAGACCACTCAATTGGTGAGTATCAATTTTAGGGTCCCTATTGATTTTTGGTGAATGTGAGCTCTCGAAAAAATTTAAATAGACCATAGTTCAGGTAAATATTTTATTTTATTTTTTCGCGACTGATCACGATTTACTTGCCTAAGTGTATTTTCTTTTTGAAATATTTGGGACTGTTTATGAAAAAAAAAACAAAATTATGGTGGATATATTGAGTGTTTGTTTATCACACTTGCACAAAAAAGCTTTTGTACCATTCCCATATCGTTAATTTACCTAATGAACCTCACTTTCAAAATGTTCATCTTACGTTGTTGGTAATAAGAAACGGGAATAATTCATAATTCGTATGAAAATTCTTTTTGATTCACTAAATTTTAACTGAAAATCTATCTAATCAATAATAAGATGGGACCCAAAATGGATCCTTGCTCCTCACTTTGCAAAACGATTTACTAACATTTTTTGAAAATTAACAAGATCTACTTGCATCGTAGAGACCGCCCCGTCAGTCGGATGCTATCCCGTTAGGTAAGAGCGGCCATTTTCTCTGCAGGACTCTGACGAGGAGAAATGCTCCACCCCGCCCCCCAGGAAACCCGAAGACAAGTCGCTGAGTGGTATCGGACGGCAGACCTCGTCCTCCAGTAGCTCTTCAAATGACAGACACAGCGGTAGTCCCAGATCAGACAGGAAGTACAATAGGGATAGTAGGGATGATCGGAGGAGTAGTAAAGATGATAATAGACACAGCAGAGACGCTATGGGGAGAAGGGATGGGAGGGGTAGAGATAAAGAAGATAAAAACGACAAATTTAAAGATGACAGGAGAGATAGGAAGAGTGATAGGTTAGTTGTTGACATGGGAGATGAAATAAAAATTGACGAGGGTTTTCCTACTAGGGATAGGTACGGAAGGGATAGGCGAGATAGAGACAGAAGGAGAAGCAGAAGTCGGGAAAGACGGCGATCGAGGTCGCCCAGACGATCCAGTTCCAAGGAGAGGGGGGAATACTCATCCAGGTCGGGTTATGGGAAAAAATTCGACAAGGTCGGAGCAAGGATGGACCGCCTAGATAAATTGGGTAAGTGCAATGCTGATAAATCTTAATTTTGGTTCTTGGAAAGAAAGTGTCATGATTTTTTTTTCTTGTTTTATCATCAGGAATCGAGATAAAAACCAGCAATAGTCCTTGGGATTACAATTCAACGTTTGACAGCAGCGGCAATTCGGTCAGCGCCTCTGGCGACAGGTTTTTCATGCCGGGAATAACGGGTCGGTTCCGCGAGCAGATTGAGAAAAGAAAACTATTGTGGCAGAAAGCGAAAGAACCGGAAAGTACTACGAGTAACGCCGCCAACGTTGCCAAACTTAGCGGTGCGGGTGGGAGCAAATCGACCAAAGTCTACGAATCTACCAATTTCGCGGACGGTAAGTCCTTTTTATTTCTTTTCTTTTTTTAAATTATCTATAAAATTAACTCTAAAGTTATGACACTTATATCTGTATTTACTGTTTCATTCGGTCAGTGTAAATCACATGATTTATTTGTACAAGATCTAATCAAATTTTGCTATTGACGCATGTTTCAAACCGGTCCCAAGAAGTGAAACTTGTCAGCATACTTCCTTCCTATAGACAACTAATAACTAATGTCCCTTATTTGCAACAAAATCATATTAAATCACAAGGTAACAATCAATTCAAAGAAATAAAAAGGACACATTTACACAATAACCTGCCCTGCCCACACTAAACACCCAGGATGAAAGTGCTGCTCACACTTCGTGCACTTTGTGAAATAATTTCTTTCTTGCAATGGTCTCGACGCACATTGACCTTCACTTAATTGAGATTGATTGATGAATGCAGATTTTTCAAAAGACATTTTTCATAAATGTCAAATACGCGCAAAAGTTAATCTGCTCACAGAAATTGACCCAAATTGTGAAAATATCAATCAAGTATTGTTTTGTTTTGTACAATTTTTAATACTTTTATTTCGCATACGTTCATTTAGTGAATTTGTTTTAATGGGCGAATCTGATCGCTCTAGTTGTAAAAGTCACAGCTATCTTCTCGGTGCATTTGAACTACCAGCGATTTGAGATTGCGACATTTCCATTGCAGACAAAACATCGAGCAAATTCAAGAGGTTGATGGGAATTAGAGACAGTGGCGGCGCTTCCGCTCCCGGCAAGGGTACAGACGTGCTCAAGAAGCAGGACGAAATGTTTAGCGTGATGGAGGCGCAGTACGAGGTGGCGAGAACGGCGACGCATACGATGCGGGGGGTGGGGCTGGGATTCGGCAGTTTTCAAAGATAATGTGCAAAAGTTTTAAGTTATTCAAGTGATTAAATCTTCGAATTTATTCAAACATCAGGAAGTCGTTCTCTGTAAAAAAAAATGCTTGTAGGTACAATGATTTGTATTAATCAGTTCATCGGGTATACAAACTACATAACTGATGCCTTTGAACGTTAAGTATAATGTTGATTTTGTTATAAAGATACATGTTTTACGCAATGAAATAAATAAAAGTGAAAAATTCCTCTTTGTGGCCTCTTTATTTAACGCCTAATGAAATAAATGACCTAACTTGAAAGGTAAGTCTTATTTTTTTTTTTTTTTAATATTCTAAGTGTGAGAAAGCAATATAGTAATAAAACTGATATATAGAAAACTCTGGTTTGGTTATTCCCACTTCACTTTTCTGTGGTATAGTTGTGTTTGATGTCCCAACTTTGTGCTTGATTTTTATTGCACTGACACACCAAATAATTTTTTGGCAATAAACATTAATTGACCAGACATATTGACTGCGTTAATTACATCCTAGACTATGAGTAATGAATGTCACATTCCAACTCGTAAATAAAAAGTTTTTTTCTAATTACGCACCGATCTAGGGTGCGGGAAGCGTCGCTTTACCACGTCAGTTCCGTTTCCGGGATTTTACCGCACGGGTTTGCGAGCAATCGGATGTTTTCGGAGATATTTCCCACGCTTTAAATTTTGACGTTTTTCAATTCTGACAGTCATGCCAGTGAATGTATTCGTGTTTTGCTAAAATGTACGCAAAAACTATCGGTCGTAGAAAAAGTATAGTATGCAACACGTTCGGTAAACTTTTTCACTCGTTTTCAACACTCGCTCCGCTCGTGTCAAATAAATTCGTGAGTCAAATGCCGTTTACCGCACTTGTTGCATAATATACTATTTTTCTACTCCGTCTGTAAAATACCTAATTACGCACCGATCTAGGGTGCGGGAAGCGTCGCTTTACCACGTCAGTCGTTTCCGAGATTTTACCGCACGGATTAGGGAGCAATCGGATGTTTTCGGAGATATTTCTTACTCAAACTTTTGACGTTTTTCAATTCTGACATTCATCTCAGTGAATGTATTCGTGTTTTGTGATGGTTGGATGACACTGAATTTGCGGATTGCTGCAACTTAACTAACGTCATAATCCCTTTAACCTCAAAATTTACTGAATATTGACGGGAAGAAACAAAAACAATTGATTCTGCGAAATAAAACCAAATGATCCACAGTAAGTTATTAATCTGTAAATATATACATTTCCGGAGTATTTACATTTGAACATAATGGGCTAAACTGTATCAGGAGGAGAAGCGGAACCGCTATCGGGTTTGCTCTCGAGTGAAAATGGAGGGATTCGACAATCAAATGTGTAGCCATCTTCGCGTTCCATTCTAAAAGTACCCCTAAGAAATGTGAAGTAAGTCAATGACACATAGTCAAATTTTTACAATAATTCTTACCACATATGCCCACTGGGAGCTTGCAAGCTCACATGACTGCTATACTGGAAAGCTGGTAATATTTTTGTTAATGCTGGCTCTTGTCCCACCACCCCCCTTCCCCTTACTGTTTCCAAGGTTCCAGACAGTGAAAAAATTCTCCAATGTCTCTCTCTTAACTGCACAGTTAAGTTTCCTAAATTTTCCAGGCGAATACAGTAACGCCACTAAAATATTTGTTTTGTTGTACTCGAGTGGTATGTTGGGGCTCAAAACTTACCCAGTATACCGAATTTGCATGCGACTCTCTACATCCCATGTAAAATGGTATCACTGTAACTCTGATATTTTCGGTTGTTTCTTTGTGGACGTCAGAGAGTTCGAGCCAAGGATGGTTCTTGTTTTGCCAAGCTTTTAAAGTATCTTGGGCAGAAAAGGGCGGATCCCTGTTTGGATTTGGGATTAAAAATTTGTCAAATAATTCGTGGTGCAAAGGAGTTTTTTCTGCACTGACATAAGGAATAATATCTTCATGAGCAACATAGTCTAAACCTGGAATAGCATATAAGCTACGTGAAGATTCCTGATTGCCCAGAAACGTCACAGCTTCTGTTTGAGCCCTCTTAAACACACACAGTTAACCACACAAGCACCTAATGATAAATAATAACTTACAATATAGGGACAATCCCTTTGATCAATTAGGACTTGATAAAATGTGTGGGTCCTTCCACGTACTTCTTTGCCCACGCCAGTATTGGGTTCTTCATCTCCATTTTTATACTGCGGTAAGTCTCTATCATAAACCCGAGCTAACCAAGGGAATAACACTACACCTCTGTAGCCGAACACCCTGTGCAAAATAAGTTGCCCCGTCTCATACTTGCCTGTCACCTTCGGTGTCTCCAATCTGCCCACTTCAGCCAACCTGGAAAGGGTAGCGGATATTAGGCAAACAAATATATAAAAGCCATCAAATAACCTCACATTATAGAACGAAAAATCTACACAATAATTCATTTTATTAAAATACCTGGCATAGTTCCTTCTGCAAGCTAATAATCTGAACGAAATAGGCACCAATTTTTGTTGTAGATTTATGCACAAAATATCCATCGTTCATCTTTAATGCGCAATATTTAATTAAGACATTTCGACAGACAACAACAAAAGAAAATTATAGTATACTGGGTACTTTAAATTTAACCGATTCCAAATTAAGAAAAACGAAATTTATTTTATTTTTTTGAGTTATTGGTTGAAAGTTGAAAGATAATAATGTCTCAGACAACCGATGGTGATAAATCTATATTCCTTGAAAAAATGACACAGACCCATTATAAGATTCATCAAAATAGAAAATATAATCCAGAAATTATATGACTTTTATGACATGATATTGCTTGTGATCGGTTTCCGTTTCCTAAGGGTTTGGTGGAGTTTTTAAGTGTTTAAGTGTTGCCGGCCTGCTGTCTGCCTTTCAGATGGGCCCGGATGGTTTATTGTGATAGCGGCTTTTTGGTATAGGTTAAAGACCTTTTTTGCAAACCGAGAACAAATATTGCCTATAGTTTTTTTTAGGTGTTGGTCCGTTATGAAAATAAAAAATTGCTATGCAGATGTGGACAATGGGCGAATGGCCATTACAGTTATTCGGGATTTTTCCTCATAGTTCACGGGAAATATTTGGGTTATTTAAAATTGGATTATTTAAATCAAAGAATATTATGTTGGGAATTTTAGGAAGATAATATTTTCTTTCTGGGTATTTTATTGAAGAAAACTTTTATTTTCGCGATAATTAATATTCTAGCGGGATCGGTATGTGTCCTTTTTTTACGTTTTGAGCACTGAAGCGCGCTCTGGTAAAGTATTCGGTAGTACGAACGAGCAGTACCTCACGACCTGTGGAAACAAAGTGAACGGAGAACGCGCGCGCTAAAGAAAAAAGGCCTAATTTTGGATTACCACTACACCACCGGTAAGTGTCATGCTGAAAACTGGCCCTTTGCATACCGAAACAAGAAACTCAGGGGTAAAACCCCAAACAGTAGTTTTGCTCAAGTGTTTGAAAAGCAAAAAGGAAGAAGGATTCTATGGTCGATGTTTTTTAAAATAGTTTGATGTATCCAAAATAATCGATTTTGAATGATAACCTAATAGTTTCGTTAAGTAATTTTTGAGAAAAATGCTGATACTGCGAAATAGTATCATGTAAAATGGTTTCAATAAGGTGAAGCAATACTAATCTTGAAGAGTGGTCTTTCGAGTCGTAAGTTTAAAATTATGCTTACAACTAATCGTATTAAACTCGTTTTAATTCAGGCGATAATGCCGGAAAATGTTGAGCTACAGCAACTCGTCGAAGAAGAACAGGAAGAAGAGCTTAAATTTCACCGCCCCAAATCTAAAAACCGATATCCTTACCTGGGATTAATTTTAGCGACGTTGAGTTCCCTTTTTTTCTCATTATGTTCGGTTATAGTTAAGTGGATGTCCCAAGTGAACCCCACAGCTTTAGCTGCCTACAGGTTTCTCGGAGTGCTTCTGCCTGCTATACCAATTATGATATACCACCGACAGCCGGTATATCCCAAAGGAAAGAGAATAATGCTGTTGCTAAGATGCTTTACCGGCACTGCAGGTCTTATGTTAAGTTTCTATGCGTTCCGTCATATGCCGTTATCCGACGCCTCGGTAATTGTGTTTTCTGTTCCAGTGTTTACTAGTATCTTTGCAAGAATGTTTTTAAAAGAGCCCTGCGGCTGGTTCAATGTCTTCTCTATAATTTTAACCTTCATAGGGGTAGTCCTGATTACCCGTCCCCCGATTATTTTCGGTAATACTATAAACTCGTTAGGTGAGAGCGATCAAAGACCCGAAATGTGGGGTGCGGTTGCCGCGTTTTCATCCACATTGTTTGGTGCTAATGCTTATGTTATCTTACGCGCCTTAAAAGATGTACACTACTCGGTGATAATGGCTAACTTTGGTACTTACGGTTTTGTTCAGTGTATAATGTTCACTTACTTTATTGGGGCACTCTGTTTGCCTACATGCGGTACCGATAGATACTTAATAGTAGCTTTAGCTGTTTCTAGTTTTTTGGGGCAAATTTTACTGACAACCGCAATGCAAATGGAACAGGCCGGACCAGTTTCTATAGCCCGTAGCAGCGACATCGTTTACGCGTTTATTTGGCAAGTACTGTTTTTTAATGAGATTCCAAATCGATTTTCCGTTGCGGGGGCAATTTTAGTGATGAGTTCTATTATATTAACTGGGCTAAGGAAATGGGTTCTGGCTTTGCCTCACGATGCCGCCCTCAAAAGGAAACTCAGTTTGTTAACAAAATAGGCTTGTTTTCAATTATTAATCATTTTCAAAATTGGAATCTGCGGGAGAATAAGATCTGCAAATCACTAAAAGTAGTACGTAGTATTTTTAGTTTTGCAGCACAAAGTTGGTGATATTGTTTCCACAATTATTTTTATTGCCTAGGAACAATGATTAACTGCCCTGAGTACAAGTGCAGTAATTTAATATTAACCTAAAACCCAAAGAGCGCAATGCTAGTCATTTAGAATGTAATTATATGGCCATATTTATCCGTATTCGTTCGGTTTTGATTTTGTCGATATTTCCATGACAATGAAGGACCAAAAGTTGCGGGATTTAAGTGATTCTGTTAGCAAGCCTGTAATGAGTGTTTTTCTACCTGTACTAATCCGAAATAAAATGTTTGTTCATACGTCGAGGATTTTTTCTTAATCTTTTATTTTCGCGATCAAGAATTGAATAACAAGTTAAAAAGGGAACTTAGATGAAAACCAAATTAAAATATACAATCTCCATAGTCCGTGCTGGTAAGTCAGGGAATGGTAATGTATAATAGGGAACTAGAAGACGTTAGTATCATCTATCAGCCAGCGGCTCGACTAAATCATTTAAAGCGAAGTTTCGCCACTGTCAAGTAGATGTCGCAAGGGGACGCATTTTAATTCTATTACTTAAAAATAAAATAGGTAAAGATAACGTAAGGTCTATTAATGTCTAATATACTACAAATGGCAGCAAAAGCATTTGCCTTAAACATATACGAAAGATACTATTTAGCGAGCTATATGCGCGTTTATCGACATTCCTGAACAGCTGCTCTTTTTAAATAAATTTGCCTTTGCCTAGATTCAGCTTGCCTTGTGTTAGCGGAAGCACTGCATTTGGGGTACATAAAGGCACTATGCTTCGCAAAAAAGCAAAATAGTTGCAATGATCACGGCAGAACCTCAGTTATTTGAATCTGGGAAAGTCACTATGATAATGGCGAAAGACTCAAAGTTACAGCTTTGGTCTGAAATTGCCAATTCTTTGACATATCTTATTATCTATTATTTAAAAAATCGATACAAATACCGAGTTTCCTTATTTTCGTGTTGTTTATTTGCAGGTTTTGGATAGTTGCACGTTTCGAAGGTTGCGAGACGCGAAACTGGCCGGTTGTAATATTAAATTTTCCACGCGAAGCCGGCAACAGGAGAGCCGCGAGCAAACGAAGAAGCCGAAAAAAAAAAAGAGGAGAAAAGAAACGGGCCGCGCGGCGACGTCCGCTGGGCGACGGTTATGATAATGGGACAGAGGGCGGGCCGAAACGGTTTGAAACAAATGCCAGACGGCGCCACGGTCGCGGCCCGCCGAGATAAATGATCATCTCGGGCCGCCAGGACGACCCGATCTTATTCCTCCGCATATTTCGGGGTAATTTATGTCCCGATTTCCGATGAAGGAATTCCCCGTGTGAAACGCGGTGCCCCGGCGTTTATTCGAACGCCGCCCGTTTATGGTCCGCGCAATTTTATCGGTTTTTAAGTTAATTAATCGATACGGTTTGTTAATAAAAAGCGAATAGCGTACGTAAAATGTATTTTACGTGGAGGGGAGTCTTTATTATGGATCACTGCACTAACAGACGAATAAGGATTAAAAGATACTTGCGGATAAATTTCAACTTAATTGAAATACATATTTTTAAACTATCAAATTGCATCTCGAACGTTATTATGGTCGTTGTCGTCAATTTAACGAACCGCAAATACAATTTTTATTAATATAAACAAACAATAAATTAAAAAAATTAAAACTTAATGTAAAAATCGAAGAGACACGAACGCAAAATTAACCAAGGAACTTACTTACGTTACAAAATTAGCATTGCCGTCAATTTGACAGTTTTCAATTTGGATGTGGCATTTTCTGGCAGAATTTTCTGGAAATGTGGCAAATTTTCATACAAAAAACGAGTTAACTTATATTATCTAATAGTACCAACGAAATTGGTCTCTTGTATGGCAGAGATCGATGTTAAGTGATGTTCTGTGTGTTAAAATAATATTAACAGTACAAACCAAATGTTAGCAAACTCATAGACGGACCAAAATGATTCGACGATGGGAGAATCCTAATGTCCAAGCCAGTACATAGTGAAAAATACAACCCTATCGAAGTAGGTAACTATAGATTTTGGAGGTACTTTCTCTTCTTCTTCTTTTTACGCAAACGGCAATTTTTTCAGCAAGCCAGTAGTGCGAAAGTTCTCATATTCTTAGCTAATATTATAACCCTCAATCCAACTTCTTCAGTTCTCTTGTGACTTGAGTATAACTTGGTATAACTCATTTAAAAGTGACGACGCTTAAGTTACCTAAAATGGGCACTGATAGACTCTCAAGGCAGTGTACTAATAAATTTGGTTTCACACTCACAGAATAATTGCGTTTTACCAAAGTGACGTATAAAAGTTTGTGAACAATAATGAACTTTGTAGTGTATGCAATCTCCAAGGAAGTAAAACTATTTGCCGCGTTATGTTTAAATGTCTTCTTTATAACGATCTTAAAACTTACCTGTTTAAATATATGGTATTTTTGGTGCAAGAACTGATGTCCATTCTAAAACTTAGATCCTTTCTCATTAATAAATATTTTTTTTACCTTTTCATCGCTTCTCGCGGAATGTTCAATAAATTAGTGTTTCTGTTAGAATTAAGTGTAGGTTATTCTACGCATTAACCTTTAGAGATTCAGTGTATTCACTAAAGTATGATTAAAAAAAAAATAATTGCTTGACCAAAACACAATTACTATTTTGATGCACTTACAATGGTTCCAAGTCAAAGAGAATAAAAAATGTAACATCATATTATAGAAAAATTACGCTAGAGTAAAAAAATATGCTATTAGGAAAAGTTGTCTAGAATTAACCGTTACTGCAAGTTGAGAGTTTTCTTCTTTTTTTTGTGACATATACATGTTTGTTAACTAATCAAATTAATCTGGAATAATTTTGTTGAAAATAAAGAATACTCGGAAAATTAACTTAGATTTGTTGCAACGATATTAAACCTTTATTATAAATGTTAACATTGTAGTTTATCCTTAAACAAAGAAAATCAAATTATCTTTAACAATAAAGATTTAATAAATTTTCGACCTGATCACTCCATTTCCAACCCCAGCCATTAAATATTTTACGCCACCATAATGACGTCACTTACATGTCTTATACACCGAGACCAAATCTGAAAAACCAGCGTGACATCGTGGCCATTTGTAACCGTCAAACGGATCGGGATCTTGTTAATCGGGCGGTTAAGAGCCGGACCACGGACGCCAATGGAATGCCCACATCTTGATGAAGTTCCCGGCGCCGTCCGAAACGTAGATGCCACAGATTCCGCTGCCAAACTGATCGGGGGAAAAAATGCACGCGGAGCAAAAGATACGAACCGAATAGCGTTACGAAGCGTGTCACTTGTCACTTTTCGGGAGATGGGGTTTTGAATGTTTGTCAGTGTTAAATTGGCAGCGAACGCGATATAGGTTGGGGCCTTCGTCTCTTCGGGCGTTGCCTCGATCCGTTCAGCCATTTAAAGTCGACACACATAATATAACCCTCTCCGCCATCATAACCTGACAAATGTTGCAGAGTTTCCACTATGGTGATCTCTTTGTGTATGAACTGAACTGAAAATTATAAAAACGATTGCCATCTCTCCTTTACATTTTATTCTGCGTTTTTTGATCAAATTTTAAGTGCTATTTTGCATTTTAGACGAATCATTCCGCTGTGTTCAATTGTAAATGTAACACAGAAGATTAAAATTTGTATTGTTGGCCACATGAAGTAAAAGAAGATGAAATGGTTTTATGGTTTTGATTCAACGCTTGATTCTGTGGTGGAGCATTGCACGCGGCGGTTTAACCTCCGTTCGCTCCCGACAGAATCCCTTGTATTCGTCCTCAAAAGTTTGATATCGGTTTCCACTGTGTGGACTTAGTGTTGTTAGTGTTCAGTGCATGTTTTAAAGTTATAATCGTCGTCGGCCCCGTCGTTTTTCCCCGTTCACGCCGGTATGGAGGCCGGATGGGCCCGGATGGTCCGTGGTGGAAGCGGGGGGTGTCGGTTTTTTTTGGTATCGGTCAAATTTGTTTTTTTGCTAGTTGAGCAAATATTGGTTATATGTCTTCTTTGTACGTGTTGGTCAATGACCAAAAGCGAAGATCCTCGACGGAAGTCGGCAATGGGCGAATGATCCTAGCCTAGCAGTCGAGCCCAACATTTTTTTGTGAAACGCATACTTGAACTTGAACTTGAACTTGATTCAACGCTTTTGGCACCAGATAACTAGAAAAATGAATCAAGTACACATCATTCTCAAAATAACCTTGTTTTATAGCCGATTGATCCTGAAATTAAGAAAAGCACTGCACCTGGCACATCCTGCTCTTTTCCAAATAGTTTTATTCAAAAAAATCAAAATACTCTCAATTCAATTGAGGATTTCATACTAGTTCATTTTGAAATATTGTTGTAAGCTGACTGAATTGCCTTACGTAGCAGTGGCCAAATAAAAAACAAATAAAAACAGAATCAGTAAAGACAAAAAAAAACTTTTCATTATTTTTGTGTTGCTTGTTGTTTTAATTTGTAAAGGCATGTTTGCAATTTTTGTGATGTAAAGATATGTTATTATACTAAAGTGTGCTTAAAAGTTAAGATTTTAAAATTTGAGCATAACTTTACAAGACTAGGTCATATTTTTTCAGGAAAAAACCGAAACAAAATCTTATTTTAGAATCCTTGAACAAAAAAATAAAAATACCCTCATATAAAGGAGATTGAGGACGAAAGAACAACCCCCTTTAGCGACGTCCCTGTACAAAATATTAAAATTTTGTCAGCAGGAACCTTATTTGTATTTGTGGTCTAATGTTCATTACGTTCCAGAAATAATAAAAAATAATTTTTTTGGGGTCCCTTCGGAAGGAGGCCTTTTTGGAACTCCCTGTCCACATATTTTAATGTTCTTACTTTTTAATTGAAATAAAGCGGTAGCCTCCCTCCCAATATAAATAATATACAAATATAAAATCCCTCATTTCGGGGTACAAATTAATACTACGACAATTTCACTATTTTCCATAGAACTGTGGCTTTTCAACGTTCTTTTGAATTTAGAGGCGAAAAAAGGCGACTTTCGACGGACCGCGCATGTGCGTGGTCTGTGACGCCCGTAACCATGGCCGACCGCGGCATCCGCCGTGTATTTGCGTAAACGCAATTACGTGCAATTCGCGGACCGCGGTCGGCTCTCCTGTGACCAATTTCGGAGCTAATTGGTCGAAATACGCGGCCCAAGGCGGATATTTGCATCGTCGTCCCGTCGAACGAACAATTAAAATCGTCAATTTTT